TAAATAACCATCACATGCAGGGGCTGCTGGACAGGCCCTGGTGAGGCCGGATAAGCCTATATTCTGACATCCAGACTCGTTTATTCACATATAAGACCTTCTGTTATGGATAAAGTTAAGATGTTGGACACTCCAAGAACCATGGTGTCAGGGCAGCCTCCCAGGAGGCTGGGGGGCTGGGGATAGGGCCTTGTGGTAGCAACTCACGAATCTCCTGTGTTAAGAGAGAATAACCGGTGTTCTGCCAAGATACCTTAGATCAGCTGCGGGGCACCCAGCCTATGTGGCCTTTGTGGAGAAACAATACACCCTGTTCTTATGATAACTCCATTATTGATATTTGCAGCCCCTCCATCCCCCATCCCAACTCCAGATTCAGAGTACTGGCTAACTATAAATTTAGTCTACAGTAGAAATGCTTTAAAGCTATAACCACTTTAAGATAGTGGGATACTGTGTAACCTTGTAACCTGTGAGGAGGAATCTGTTTAATGTATACCACGATGATTAATAGCATTGCTGATACTTTTACTGTGAAAATCTAAAAGTAACAAAGGGAAACAGGACAGTGGAGCGGTTCTTTGAAAAGATATCTTCACTGCTCTCTGAAATTGCTGGCTTTTCTGTAAATAAAAGTAAAACTATTTATCTCTCTTCTGGTTCTCCATTTATTGGCTTAGTGACAAGCAGATAGACTCCTTGGTCTGACAACATATCTTGGTGACCAAGAAGGGACCACTGGCTGGGCGTCTGGTGAGTACAGATCTGCCTATGGCCCTGCTGGTCCGCCTGGACAGGTGTGACCGGGACGTGCCTCCCTGCCACTCCTTGCAGCGCTGCCAGAATACTTTTTTCTTTTTCTTTTTTGCCAGAATGGCTGGTGTGGTGTCCTCCTGCTCTCACTGTTGCCTCACATTTATAAAGAGATCCTTCTCACTTTTATTCAGATATGTGCAGAGGTTAGAGTCGCCATCTGGTTGTGCACAGGGGTTAGAGTCCTCATCTGGTTGCCTAGGTATGTGTGTTTTCTGTGGAGCCCAACCATGGGGGCTCAGTGGTCAGTTCTGGAGGATACCCCTTTGGGCCATATCCTATCTGGTTTTCCATCTTATGGGAACCCACCTATGACTAAGAGAAAGATGACATTTTATTGTAACAGGGCCTGGTCTTTGTACAATCTTAATGATAAAATGATGGCTATTAAATAGGTCCTTAAGTTACTAGATTTTATAGCTAGAGCTCTCTTGTCAAAGATCAGGGAAATGGGACAAGATCCCCCATGTTCGAACTTTTATTTCTGTTTGTGTGTGCAATATTTGTCTCTGTTTGTGTGTATATACAGCTGGAGAAAAGCCCGTTGAGATGAGCGCTGTCTGATTGTACCACTTCCGTGTATCACTCTCTGACCAAAAGAAAATTAACATTCTATTGTAACACTGCTTAGCGGGTATGTTTTGGGCTCTGAGGAGAGATGGTCCTTGGACAGGTTGTCCAGGATGCTTCTAGGTCTCTTACTTGTGGACTGAGTGTGGGGGGGAGCATTTGGAGAAGCAGGGAGAACTGAAGCAGAATCTTCTTGTGGAAAAAATATCCTAAGTTCGGTTTTGGGCATGTTGACTTTGAGGCGGCTCTGAAACATCTGCGCAGGAAGGGGAATTCGTGGACCTGGTGGCAGCAGGAGAGCAGAGGCCAGAGGAAAACTTGGGCGCCAGAGGATGGAGAAGGCTCAGGAGGGGATGAGGCTGCCCAGGGGGAGAGTCGTGGTAGGAGGAAGGCCCAGCCGCAAGCCTTGATCCAGAGATGGGAGAGCCACGCCCCCTGCCCTGATGGCACCATAGTCAGGAACACCTGGGGATCTGTCTTTCAAGGCAGCATGTGCTAAGAGCCAAGGGAATGGAGAATGGAGGAAAGGTAGTTTCCAACTGCGCTGATGTGCTCCGTGGCAGCCTTTACTTCTCATTGACCTCGATTCACCTCTCCTAAGCTTCTTAGGGAGTCCCTCAGAGTACGTTCTCCTGCTTCATCCTTCCCCACGGCCAGGAGCCACTCACACCTACTGCCCTGCCCCCTCAGCCTTCATTTCACATCTGACGCTGCTCCCTTAGGTCCTGCCACATGGGTGTCATTATTACCATTAGTGCCTCTCTGAAGTTGGCATGGGTGAACCGTGTGCTGTGCCCTAATCACAGGGGACAGAGGGACAACAGAAGACCTCCCAGGGAGCTGGATCCATGTGTCAGGGAACAAGCAGAGGGAGCTACTGTGATGGCCAGTGGGATCCTGGAAGCCAGCTGGAGGTCTTGGGTGACTCTTTTAGGGTATGGGGGTTCTTAGACAGTGTTGGGTTTTGGGTTGTCCCTGAATCTGAGCTTCCCTGAACCACAAATCTGAACATGGATGCCAAGGAGTGGTGGCCTTTGTGCAAGCTTCACCTTTGTAACCTGCCCCAGTGATGCATTTGGGTGCTCATGGGTTTCTTAAACACGCATCTGGAGGTATGGGGGTCTTCTCTGGGGCCAAGGAGGCCCTTCTGCTCCAAGTTCTGCCCTGGGCCATTGGGGCAGGTGTGCTGAAAGGCAAAAGGCAAGATGAGTGAGGCAAACCTGCACCTTGTGGGAGGCAGCCCCTCTCTTAGAGTCCAGGGACAGCAAGCTGCCCACTCCTGCCCATCTGTTTCCACCCTGGGAGAGCCTCCCTCGCCTCCTGGCCTTTCAGAAGCTGCCTACCTGCCAGGACCCAGCTCTGGCTCAGTTCCCTCCGGAAGCCTAATTTGACTTCTTAGCCTTTCTGGTCCCCACAAAGTAAACTAGAGCCCACAATATAGAAATAAATTACGAAAGCTCCACTTCTCTGGTCACAGTTGTGTTTCCTGTGTGCTGTCCTTCTCTTCATAAAGCACTGTGTCTCTCAAGCGCAGGGACCAAATGTTCCAGGTCCCCTGACACTGTCCATCTGAGAGCTGGGGATGGAAGGGGCTGCTCCACAACTTGGTAATGGGCGAGAAGCTGTGTTTCAGGAGACCTGGAAGAGTTTCCTTGTGTTCGTTCATTCATTCATTCATTCATTCCATTCAGCAGGTGCTTGGGGCTGGATTGGAGGTATAAGGTGTTATGAGGTGTTATTTCTGCTCTCATGGGGATTAAAATGAAAACAAAAAGAACAACAATAATCTCTGTATTTTATTGCATGCCTGTCGGCCAATCACTGTTCTGTGTGCTTTGCCGGTGGCTGTATCTTGTTCTCATTCTCTCTACAATCCTGCAAGTTTGAGACTCTCCTCTTCTCATAGCTGGTGAAATAGGCTCAAAGGGGTCACAGAGCTGGAAAGTGGCAGGGCTCAGGAGCATTGGCTGTGCTGCTTTGCTAGAAAGAGGGGACAGATGGATTCTGACCAGCCCTGAGATCGTGGCAACTAATGGCCCCTGTCTGGGGTTCAGTGCAGTGGCCTCCCCTGCTGTGCAAAGTGTAGGGAGTGCTTAGACCCTCAGGTCTCTCCCACTCTAACCTTCAGCAGTCCTAACACCTACCAGGTACATTTCCCTCTGGGGGATGCCAGAAGTTTTCTGAAATATCCCTGTACTCTGTCTTGGGTCTGGTCATTAGAAAGGCTGCCCAAGTGAGGGCCAGGAAGGGGCTCTGTAACTCTGAGCCTTGGTACATGAAGACTCCTCAAGGGCTCTGGAGGGCAGCACTCTGTTCAGAGGGTGCTCCTGTCCTCAGCAGGCCCCCTGCCTTTGTTTTCTCCCCCAGGGGCAGGGTGGTGGGCACAGTGCCAGTCAGTCTTGAGGCCCGGGGAGAGGCCCTAAAGCCTAAGTCTTTGGCATGAATTCAAGTGTCTCTCCAGACTGTGGCCCATGCTGGCTTGGCCAATGCCACCCTTCTGTTTCTGTCTGGGAATTATGAGAGATTATGACAGCCATGATCTGAAGGAGCTGCTGGTGGTGGCTCCAGCCCATGTGTGCATGTGTGCATGCATGTGTGTGTGTGTGTTGTGGGAGGTTCCTACTTCCTTCTCCGTGCTCCTCTTTCCAGTGGCCCATCTGATGGTGGCTAAATAAGGCAGTATAGACTGACCAGGGAGGCAGCTATGAAGAGACAGGGGCCAGTTCTTTTAGACCCATAAAGTTTTCCTCTTCAATGGCTCGGTTTCTCTGAATCTCTGGTCTCTCATCATTGGAACTGTTTTTTCCCTCTCACAGATATTCCCCAGCTCCCTGGCTCCCCACGCCGGCTGAGCCCTCGAACAGTGGCCAGAGGGGGCCAGGTCCCCAAACCTGGACAGCAGCATCTCAAGGTGCCAGGCCCCCAGGTGCCAGCTCCACGGGGCAGTTCCAGTGGAGAGCGTGCCCATAGCAGCTCTGTGAGTATGGGGGAGAGGGACAGGCCAGCCCTGGCAGAGGCCCCTAGGGAGACTGGGGAGCCTGTGGTTGGGAGCATGTGCTTGAGAGGCCCTGGGGTTTTGATAAGGCCTTTGTTTCTTCCCTCCCTCCAAGTCAGTACAATTTCTCAGCAACACTGGTTCTTTTGGCTAGAAAAGGGTCGGAAAGGGAGAAGGTGAGAGAGGCCAGGTGACCCCACCTGTTGGTCTGCAGACTCCCTGGCTGCCTTCCCACAGGCCTGAGAAGGCTCCTCCTCTGCTGTGGTGGCTTGGAGTCTCTCCCCTGTGCCTGATGCTTCATCTGGTTGCCCAGGTGACCTCTCAGGTGGCTGCAGAGGCAGCTGGGTTTCAAACCAGTAATAAACAGGAAAACACCCAAAGGGAGGGAGGCAGGTCCCTCCTCTGCTCACCTTGGTCTCTCTCCTCTTCATTCCACATCCCCACCTCTGGAGTGGACGAGAGCAGGAGGCAGTTCCCCGGCTGCTGTCTCTACAGGGTCCTCACAGTGGCCAGAAAGCAGGAGGAGGGGGAGGACAATGTGGGCTGCGAACAGTGTCTAGTGCATTCTCGTGGGTGGGAAAGTAGGAGTGGTCCAGGCAACTAGAAATTCTCCTGTGTTCTAATGGATCCAGAGAACCTGCCAGTGAGTATTCTCTGTGTGTAAACATGTAGAGGGTTTATGGGCAGAAGTGCAGGTCTGCAGGGAGGTGAGTGAGTGTGGGCGTGTCATTGTGCATGTGGAGGGTTGTGTGTGCATTAGAGTACACTCGGGTGGTTGCACACACAGGCGGGACCGCAGGTGCAGGGAGGCAGGGGGGCTGTGTGTGCATGTACAAACGCTGGTGTGTATGCAGCAGTGGGCATGCAGTTCTGTGGGTGCAGACAGGCGGTGCGCTTGTGTGGGGTTTGCCTCTGCAGGCAGTCTTTGCATATGAGTGCACGTGTGTGCGTGGGTGCCGGAGCATGTGGGAGGGACTGATGCTCAGACTGCAGACATGTGGGTGCAGAGCTGTGTGAGCTGGTGTGAGAGATGAACCTGGTCACTCTGTCACTTCATGGGGGCAGCTAGGTCTCTGGCCTGAAGGACTTGCTTCCTAGCCCACCTCCCTGGGCCCAGAGCACAGGCCAGCTTCCTCTGTCTCTCATCATCTCTGTCCTGTTCTCTCTGGCCAGGTCATCAATAACTACCTGGATGCCAATGAGCTTGTGTCCTCGGAGGCCCGTCTGAGCCGCATGCACTTCCGTGACAACCAGAGGAAGGTTGACTATGTGCTGGCCTACCACTACCGGAAACGTGGGGCGCACCTGGGTCACGGCTCCCCTGGCCACTCACTGGCTATCATCTCCAATGGGGAGACGGGCAAGGAGCCCCACGCCGGGGGCCCTGGTGACGTAGAGCTAGGGCCTGTGGATGCCCTGGAGGAGGAGAGGAAAGAGCAGCGGGAAGAGTTTGAACACAACCTCATGGAGGCTGGACTGGAGTTAGAGAAAGACCTGGAAGTGAGTGGGGCTGGGGTCTTGGGATGAGTTGGCACCTCAGAGCTGGGTTTCTGCTGATTGGTGCCACCCTGCATGGAGCCTAGGTTTTGTTCTGGCAGGTGGTATTCTTTTTTCCAGTTGGTGAAACCAAATCTTCTTGCCCAAGGACTTAAGAAGAGTCTAGATTTTACTGGCCCCTGCTGGGGGGTTCCAGTAGTAGTGGGGGTGGTGGTGATGTGCCAGTCTGCTCTGTAGGAATTGGAAGTGGGCCTGGTTAGAGTGGAGGCACGATATTTCCTCCTGACTCTCTCAGGTCACCATAATGGTCTCCTTGGGATGAAGACCTGGTTCACCTTTTGAATTTTTTTTTTTCTGATTATGTTAGTAATTGATGTTTATTGCAGATAATTTATAAAATAAACCGAAGCATCAATAAGAAAATAAATGTCTGTAAGACTATAACTCAGTGAGAATCACAATTTACATTTTGGATATTCTGTACGTACATTTTTATGACACGATTGTCATGACAAGGAGTGTTCCATGTTTAAACGTGTCACGTGTATTTAGTCACTTTCCCGCTGTTGGGTTCTTTTTTTTTTTTTTTTTTAGTTTTATGACAATCCTCTTTATTTTTAGACCCCCTGTAAGGTTCTCCATAATCTCCAATTGTCTTCAAGCTACTTAATGAAAACTGATTTCTAAATAACCTAGCTTCATATATTGATACCCTTTCCCTTGTCCTACCCTACATTTGAAATGCCACCACTATTTTTTGGTCAATGTAAAAGAAAATCTGTACAGAGTAGAACCTCCATAGTTGACCACTTCCCTACATTGACCACCTCCATAAGTTGACCTAATTTTCATAGACCAGACATGCATCACATGTACGTATCAGTACAGTAGGCCTACGTCCTTCTGTTGACCAGTGTGTCACAGTCTCTCCGATGCTCAACTTACAGAGGTTCTACTGTATTTTATCTATTTTTACCTTTTGAATTTTGGATCAAAATTTCTCTATAGGGATCTCCTTCACCAAGAAATGTGCTTGTCTGGGGGCTCCTGAGGGAGCTGACTTGGGAAATATTTAGGAAATAAATTGAGACATACATTGGATATGTTTTTATCAATTTGTAAGCTTTTATATTACCACCTCTGATCAGCAGATAGCCCAAGGGCATCTATGGAAATTCATTCATCCACATATCCATCCCTCTATATATTCATCTATCCATTTATCCACCTGTTCACCATCCATCCAACCATCTATCCATCCATTTCCCCATATCACTGTGATTCTTTAAAAATCACCTTCCACGCTGATCCCCTAACCCTCCCACCCTCCTTGCCCTACACACCTAGGTCACTGGCCTTATTTCAGGTGTGGCTGGTCACTCTCACCACAGGTTTTTGTGCTGGCTGTCCCCTTTGCCTTGGCCACTTATCCCTAGACTCACGGATGCCCTTTTTCTGACTTTAGGTCTCTGCTCAAAATGTCATCTTCTTCTAGACATCGTCTCTGATCATTCCCTCACCCATGTCACTCTGTGTCCCTCAATCCTGTTGTACTTTTCTTCACCACACCTAGCGCTGCTATCTGAAATACTTGATAGATGTATTTGCTTTTTTATCTGTGCCCCCACTAACTCCATGAAGGCAGGGATCTTACTTGGTTCTAAGTGTTGGGTGAGTAAATGAGTGAGCTCTCTGAGTGTCAGGTCCCTTATCTGCAGCATAATAGATGCCTTGCTGGATTGTATTTTCACATGTACCTTTATTAGATGGGGCAGTGAAAACTTTAGCACAATGTCTGGTATACAGTAGGCACTTAAAGCAAATGCGCATTATGATTAAAAGGTGTCATACTAAGGATTGAAATGCTATTCTCGTCAGAAATCTGATTTATAAGATTCAAGTTAGTACTTGAATCTGGAAGGGTGCCCCAGATAGAGGCCATTTATCCCTTCCTCTGTCCCCAGGCAGAATGGCCTGCAGTGTGGCTCATACCTAGGGGTGCTAACCTCTGCCACTTAGCCAGACCTTTAAGGCGGGGTAGTGAGAGTGTCATCTTTCAGGGCTATGTTGGCCTCACTTGCTACAGAAGTATTGATTTGCAGTTTTTGAAACCCAAAGCTCACTTGGTGGCTCCAACTGGGGTCTGCTGAGAAGGTCTTTCGAAGGTAATGGTGCATTCTCAGGGCCATAGAAAGGGCTTGTGCTGGGTTCCACTGTGGGAGCTACAGTCTATACCCCTGTCTGTCACTGAGTCTCAGGGAACAGAGGCCAGGGCTTTGCTCAGCTCAGGGTGGACTCTGAAGGCCAGTTACATATGTTCATATTCCAAGACTGACTTATTCTAGCCTCACAACCTTGGGCTGGTTTCTTGATCTTTTTGAGCCAAAGTTTCTTTGCCTATAAAAAGAGAGTAATGATACATTCTTCACTGGCTGTTATGAAGATGAAACAAGACAACTCACTAAAGTACCTAGAACAGTGACAATGAGTGTTACTGCTCTCATTATTATTATTTAGAGCTGCCAAGTTTAGCAAATTCAAATGCAGCTTGCCTAGTTAAATTTGGGTTTCAGATTAACAATGACTATTTTTTTAGTAAAGTATGACCCATGCAGTATTTACACTGCAAAATGATTCACTATTGATCCAAAATTAAAATGTTGACTCTCCTGGTCATGCTCACTGCTCCTGTTAGCATCACTGCCCATCTTTGCTGCCCTCTAGCATGTTTTATTGCTGGATATGCCCAGCTTCGGCTGGGAATTAGGAAAACACAGAGATAGCTCTTGGGACTGATCAGTGTTAGATGGGGGCATGGTGTGTATCCTAAAGTGTCCCTGTTGTGTGATCACCCACCTCTCTCCCTTCCCAGACCCCAGCCCTGGTTCAAAGGCTCACTTAACTCTTCCTCTTTCGTGAGGCCTCTCCAGGTCGCCCTAGCCTGTCTGTCATCAGAGCCTCCACCACTCAAGCAGGCATCACATTGCTTGTTTAAATATCCCCCTGCCTCTGTGCTGCCTGCTTCTTCACAGTCAATTCAAGGCGTCACAGCTCTGGGAAATGTATAGTGTTGTTTTGTCATATGCAATTAAAAAAATTCAAAAACAGACTTTTAAGATTTAGCATGCTCTGTTTTTTGACATTATCTTCTATTTTTATTTATAAATATTAGTTGTCTGTTTTTTGAAACTTTGGAAAAAAAAGAAGTTAACTGATGACTCCATACTGAACCTCAGAGTTAAAGCATTCTATGATAGACTTCCTCTTATCTGAAAATGTGAATGTTATTCTTTTTGCATTATTATTATTATTGTTGCTCTATATTTTGTTGCAGGAATCATCTGATTTCTTTTCTAAATGTACCTATCTTCGTTTGTTCTTTAAAAAAAAAAAGACTTTTATTTAGAACAGTTGTAGATTTGCAGAAAAATTGGAAGATAGTACAGGGAGTTCCCATATGCTTTGTACCCAGTGTTCTCTACTAGTAACATTTGACATTAATGTGGCATATTTGTTACGATTAATGAACCAGTATTGATACATCATCATCATCACCACCATCGTCATCATCATTGTTATTTGAGACAGAGTCTTAACTCTCACTCTGGATATAGTGCCATGGCATCATCATAGCTCACAGCAACCTCAGTTTCTTGGGCTTAAGCAATCCTCCTGCCCCAGCCTCCTGAGTAGCTGAGGACTACTGGCTCCCACCATGATGCTTGGCTAGTTTTTCTATTTTTTAGTAGAGAGGAGATCTTGCTCTTGCTCAGGCTGGTTTCAAACTCCTGAGCGCAGGCAATCCACCCTCTCTGCCTTCCCGAGTACTAGGATTATAGGTGTGAGCCACTGCGCCTGCCTGATACATTATTACTAACTAAAATCCATACTTTATTCAGATTCCTTTAGTTTTTACTAGCTGCTGTTTTTCTGGCATACCACACTACATTTAGTTGTCCTTTCTCCTTGGCCTCCTCTTGGTGGTGACAGTTTCTCAGAACTGTATGCATTTTTAATTTACGTGAAAGGCGCCTTTATAG